GGGATCAGCGAGAGAATTTTTTATTTTTCCTATTTTGTCATTTTTATGTGTTATATGTACATATTTTTATGTGTTGATATCGTATGTATGCANCGCAGATCAGCGAGGGATCAGCGAGGGAAATGACAAAATTCAAATTCCCTCGCTGATCCCTCGCTGATCTGCGAGGGAAAATTTCCCTCGCTGATCCCTCACAGATCAGCGAGGGATCTGCGAGGGAAATGCAAAAAAACTCATTCCCTCGCTGATCCTTCGCTGATCTGCGAGGGAAAAATTCTCTCGCTGATCCCTCACAGATCAGCGAGGGATCAACGAGGGAATTGCCAAAAAAACCCATTCCCTCGCTGATCCCTCGCTAATTTGCGAGGGAAGTTTCTTCTGCAAATTCCCTGGCAGATCAGCGAGAGAATTTTCTATTTTTCCTATTTTCTCATTTTTATGTGTTATATGTATATATTTTTATGTGTTGATATCGTATGTATGCATGTCATGTGTTGTTTGTGTGTTATGTACATATTTTTTCCATTTTTCCGTCGTTGAAAGTATCCGTTGCAAATTCGTCGTTGATTTCCGTCGCTGATCCGTCGCTGATAGCATTACCTACGACTGTTTGACAGACGGAGTATCAGCGACGGATCAGCGACGGATCAGCAAGGGAATTTTCCCTCGCTGATACTCTGCATTTTTGTAGTGCAAACAAGCAACAAATTTGAACCAACATTTCCCAAATTACCAAATGGTCATTACCTCCATGGTAACTGGAGAGCCGATAAACAATGTTGCTAACTAAACGGACCCTAAAGGTTTGTTTGGGGGCTCAAACGACCCCCATAAAGTTTCAAACATATTTGTTTATTTTGTTATAAAATTTAATTTTTTATAAACATATATGTGTTTTGAACCCAATAAAAATAAAATTTGACACCATAAACTTTTTAGCCCAATTTTATTTTTTATTTTTTATATAATTTGTTTTTTTGCATTAGTTGTTAATTGCTAGGGTTAGAGTTTGTTAGGTGATATATAATTATTAATTGAAACTTTGACCAAAATAGTCATTTCATTCAACAAAATTCATTTTTTAACCATTTTCCATCAAAGTTTCGAAATATCATCAATTCTGCAGGGAGCCACATTCCCCAAGAATTCAAAATTGGGTCAACCTTGCGGAGCCAAACGAGCCACTTGCCGAACCGAATGAGTCACTTGCTGAGCCGAATAAGCCGACTGTGGAATGACCTTTTTTTGATTTGTTTTATTTTTAATAGGAAAAACATACATTCCGCAGGTTACGGCTTTACCACTTGTGGATTTATGATATTTTGGAAACATTGATGAGAAAATGACTAGAAAATGAATTTTGTTGAGTAAAATGGTTATTTTGGTCAAGTTTCCTTTGTTAATTATTAGTTGTCAGGGTTTGTTAATTGACGTCAAACTATTAACTGTTTCATGTTAATTGTTAGGGTTAGGGTTTATTAGTTGAACTCTGATTGTTAAGTTTAATGATCTTTCTTGGATCCAATTGGAAGACTGTTTTTATGGAATATCACTCTAATAAATAGACAGATAAGATGAAAATATTGAAGTAAAGGATATTATCAATCATATGAGCACGTGGCCGTTACTAAAATTCAACCTCTATCGCTAGATCCAGCATGGAATACAGTACATATATATTTAGATGTTTGAATATAATTTAGGGCAAAATTTGCGAAATAGAAAGCTATTTTTACAAATTTTCTTATCATAGAATTATACTTTCAGTTTTTCTTATTACAACAATGTACTTTCAAAATACTTTTTATGGGCATCGTACTTTCAAAATTAACCCGTTATAGCATTGGGTAACATTTTAAATTAAATTTACCCATTATACTAGGTTTTTTTATCAGCTCATCGTCCATGTAGGTTGTTCACATGTACGATAGTGCTGACATGACATTTATTATTTTAAAATTATTTTATTATAACATCATCAAGTTCTATTACACACATTGTTCTTTTAATTTTAATATTTTTATCATTTAAACATTGAAATTTGATCAAATATGTTTATTAAAAATTATAATATTAAATTGTATTGTTGATGCTTGTATGTGTTAGTTATTTTGATTTGTTTGCAGAGTTTTAAGAGATAGTGTTTTTTTATTTAAAAAATATAACATTTAATTTAACAAAAAACTTACATTATTTTTAAAAAGATTGAATTTCATTTACTGTTTGATATATTACTGCATATATGTTAATATTAATAAAATTATCGATTTAAGTGTCTTTTGCCTTCTATAATATGTCAAAAA